TGGTGTTAGCGGAACGCAAATTGATTCATATAGTCTACAAGTTGGATCGACAGTTAAAGTAGCGATAATGGAGGAATTATACATAGATTTAAAAGAATCTGAAGCATATTTTCTTAACGGAACAGCGAATTTCACTTTTAATTCTTCGTTAGTTATTGACCAATATGCACTACCGTTTACAGTGAGCCTCGTAGTGATCACTTTATACGCCATCACATTTGTCGTCGGACTTTTAGGAAATATTGGGATTTATTACATTCTGAATGTTTGTAGAAGAGAAAAAACAAGAACCATCAGTAACATTTTCATATCTAGCATAGTATTCAATGACATGTTTTTGATCGTTTTTTGCATTCCTTTAACAAATCTTCATATTTTACTTTTTGATTCATGGCCGTTTGGATCAACTGCATGTCCTTTGTTTAAATACATTCAATGGAGTTTATTTTTGCAGAAATCGTTGAGTCTGGTTGTCGTTAGTTGTGATCGATATTATGTAGTTACTCAGCCGTTAAAGAAAAGAATAAGCAAACAAAATGCTCAGTTTGTAATCCTAGCTACGTATGTTTTAGCTGCTTGTGCAGCATTACCCATAGCCTTCAGAACTAAGTTCGTGGAAGTTTTATATGAAGGACAATTTGTAGGAATTTGTACGGAGATATGGTCATCGTCTAAATCTAAGACAATATATACAATTAGTTTACTGTTACTTCATTTCATAATTCCATTGACGATAATGACAGTTTCAAACATACGCATAGTTCATATCCTGTGGACAAAGAAGATTCCAGGAGAGCCAGACGAAAAAAGAGATAGAAGAGTTGCCGGCTCTAAACGGAAGGTTAATATTTTTTACATTAATAATACTAGTATTTGTCAATTCTAAATTGTTTCTTTCTTCGGGCTTTGTTATCTTTCCACTTCTTTCTTATTATTACTTATAACGTGTGTGTGTCTCTTTGTATAAGTATGTGTGTCTCTTTGTATAAAAGTGTTTTCTACTTTGTATTTTAGTGTTTTTGAAGCAAGTTAATCAAAAGTAGAAATAGGTAACTTTTAAATAATAGATACTTAAATCAAACTAGAACACAACCGCGAAATCGCGGTCATTTAGAGCGTGGTTGAAAGTATGTAAACTGTTGTAGGATGAATTTTTGTAAATGATTTTATGACTGGGGAATGACAGGAAATGTATCAAGGGTATCTTAAACATTAACTGATGTCAATATAACGTTTTGATTTTTTTTTTAAATAATTCATGCATTCCACGGGTTGGGAACAACCTCTCAAATTAGGGATAACCCCTGAATGTAGTGACTACCCCTTTTATGAAGGGTTGAATTTAAGTTATAAAAAAAAAAATTTTTTAACCGCTTTTTTAGTACAAAAGGGCACATGTTTATATTATTTGTAGAAACTTTTCCCAAAGAACAATACATTTATCTTGCATTATATAGACAAAACAGGTCCATGAATTTTAGAATATTCATGGACTTCAATCTTCTTTATTTTTGAGAATAAGAGGACCCCTCTTTTAGAAACGTTGTTCCAAATTTAATGAATTTTCCCCCTTTTCGGGTTAAAAGACAAAGCTATTCTTTTTTTATCAGTTTTACAACAGCAAAAGAACCCCTTGGTTGAGGGATTGTCCCTCATTTAGGGATATTCCTTAATTACTAACTTGAATACATACAATGTTTTGGGCACCTGAGCTACAGGAATCGGTATATTCAAATATTCCTTCGGTCCCTGGAAGCGATAAAAAGCCGAAGTCTTGGAACCCCATGAACTGGTATATAATCATGTTTTATCTAAGAAATAATGCGTGCAAGCCATAGATTTTTAAAAATATTCACATGGCCTGGGTCATTATATTCGTTAATTTTATCCCTTGCTCACGCTCGGGATAAAATTCCAATATAACGACCCAGGCCATGTGAAAATTTTCATATTGAATGTTTTCAAGTTAGGAATTAAGGGTTGTTTGTAAATTTACCAAAATTCTGTGTAATTTTAAACAGTCCTAAACGGAAGTCTTGTCTATGACTTAAACATGAATGCACTATGTAAATAATTCACTTGCACTAATAGGTGTAAATAGAGTTCGATCACGGTTTTTACATTTCTGCTTACATTTTTGTTAAAACATTAATATTTATGACAGACTGTATATAACCTTTTTTTTAAATTATTTTACTATTTAATTTTAATTCTCAATCTAGTAAACTTAAGGGCTTTTAATACCGCGTGACACGGGTGCTCTGATATGGGAAGAATCTACTTAGAGAAGAAGACTTAAAAGTCCGCCCGATGACGGAAAGAAAATCCGGACACCTTTATTTTCGTTTTCCTCCCAAAATAACCCAAACGGAATAATCATAAGCGAGGATGACAAATGCGATTATGCATGGTACCTATAGGACAAAGAGGCATGGTGATTAATTTAGTGTGAAAGGAAGAGAAGCGACACATAAAATGAGGTCTTCTCATTTAATAGTATAGAAGCGTCATGGTGCCTCTATTTTTAGTGTTTATTCAGCACCATGTTTGGTTTTTGTGCAGTCGTCATTATATCTTAATATTCTATCTTTATATATCTTTCGTTCACATGCGGAATTTAGTAAATGATATTTTTCATATTGCATTTTATCAATTTAATTTAGTGTTTTTTTCTTCTTTCGTCCATAAAGGAACTTTATCTTTGACGTCATTTGGTATCTGGTGGAAAGTCATACCACATCTTCTTATTTTTATATTTATGCAGATGAATATTTTGATATTTTGATATTCTCATTAGACTTCAGACGTTTCAAAAATCTAAAAGCAAATTATCGAGTCCAGTACATGCTAACACAATTGACCTTTTGGTCAGGACAGTACTTTGGGTTTCAGGGACAGTAGTTTGTCTGTCCGAAAAAAAGTATATTCATTATTGTATCATTAGTTATTGGTGTTTATATGAAAAGTACAAATAATATCTCTTTTTTTTACAGAGTGTGAAAATACTGGTATCTATGGTGATAATATTCGCTGTGGCATGGCTACCCATGGAAGTATTAACCCTGATCGGAGTAACTGACTATTCATTGCTAGACAACGAAGTTTCATATTTGTTATGGACCTTTAGTCAATGGTGGACTTTTATAAACTGTGTTTCCAGCCCCCTGTTGTATTTTTGTTTCATCAAACGTTATAGAAAAACCTTTAAAGAAATATTCGCAAAAGCAAGATGTTTACGACTGTTAGAACATGTATGCTGTGTAAGAAAGTCGTCAATTAATTCAAAAGAGGTCGACATATATCTTTGAAAAGATAATTTTGGTGAAATACAGGAATAGAAACTGAAGATATATTTTCTAATCATTAACTTTTAAAACCAGCACTGTTAAGTCTACAAAAGACGTAATATTATGATTCAATTTCACTAAAGAGAACATTTTGATTAGTTATGATTTAATTTTGATTTAATATATAATATCTTCTAATAGTTATTCAATAAGTTTATATATGTGCACTTTATAACTTGAGCTGCGTCGGATAGAAATCGACCTTATGCAAATGAATTTTAATACATCTGTTAACCTATTTTGGGTTGAAAAAATCCCTACGGAAAGTCTGTAACTGTTTGAAAATAAGTTGTTATAAGCAACCTACAAAACAGACAAAACTTCATCTTTTATTTCGTATTTGAATGTTCCAAAATCAATCAAAGTCTTATAAATGTACATATATATGTGCACTATAAGGTCGATTTCTATCCGACGAAGCTGACTTGTTAATGAATACGACTAGAGACCAGTGAATAGGCCAGATCCAATGCAATTAGAGGTATATGTACCGCATATTTATATGATATTATTGCTTGGTAAACTAAAAGCCAGTTTCGTCAAAAACATGCATGAAATATTTGCCACTGGACGTTAAGCAACCATCAATCAGTCAATAAAAGCTGGCTAACAGGAGACGAAACTGGTAAAATGACTGTGTATATGACGAATAAAAGTTAAGTGGAAGGGAAAAGAAGTAAATTCTTCTCAAAAATTTGTATTGCACAAAGATATATTTTCAATATAACATATTATAGATAATAGATAAACGAATACAAACATAACTCGTGCAGTGTCGTTCTTGGTTTGTGACGGCATTGAAAACAACATTAATTAATAAAAATTGCAAATTTTCAAATATGTTTGGAATACACAAGATCTTAATATAACAAACAAAAAATAACATATTTAGAAGAATGCAGCACCAAATTGTATTCAGCGCAAACTTTCAAAGTTTAATATTTTTATATGAGCACATCGGCGATTTTAAAGTAATGTGCATGACATCTGAGTTATTCCCTACAATGAAAGCTAAATTTTGGTGCAAGATCTAAAACAAAACTTTATGATAAAAGGAAATGTTTATAAATGTAATAGATTTATGAATTATAGATAACACCACATTTATGAAATACTGATTTAAGATAGATAATTTTACTATTTTCTGTTTGATATAATACCTCACCAAAACTTGTCTTCTTAAAGACTTCTATTGCAACAGCTCATTGTAATGTCCTCTTCGCGGTTCCCGTATTAAAAAGTTAAAAAACAGGTTGAGGAACCATCCAATTGAATATTTATGCGTGAATATTAAATTTCAGAATAAAACAGTACAGATAAATATATATTAGCTACGAAACAGATTAAAAGATCGGCCAGACTCTCTTTTCTTTCTATTTCCAAAGTTCGAATAAAGAGCAATTGCATTTAAAAAAAAATTGAGAGAGAGAGAGAGAGAGAGAGACTATGTAACCTACCAGTGCATATTTAAAATACTGCAATTGTAGTTTAAATATTATACTTTGAATAAACAATTGCCAAAGACATTTAATCGACGTTGGATATTTTAATTATTTCAATTGACCTGTTCTCATTTAAAACACATTGGCTCTACATCAAATCTCTATTGTCAATGCGCATTGTTTTATATTCTATTTTGCAAAATAAAAGAATCCTTAGACCATAATTACATTGTAAGAGGAGATGATCTGATGGTATGTTTTATTTTATTTATTGTTTTCAGTAACCTTTTACAAGAAAAAAAAGAAATAATAAGTGAAACGACATAGGTTCGCGATATAAGTTCTTGATTACACTCAATGTATCTTTGAAATATAATATACTTCAACATTGAACTCAATATAACTATTAAAAATTAATGTCGCCATGTCTGTTATTTGATATTATGTTTACCTTGGTAGTTTATATGAGGGAGCTGCCATTTGATTTCTATGGGGGTGCTAGGATGAAAAATTTTGTCCTGCATTTTTTTTTAGTTGTAATCTCTGTCCTGCCTTTTCATTTTTCACTCTATTCGGTCCTGCCTTTTTTTTTTACATAAATTGTCATCCTGCCTTTTTTTTTGCAAAGTGTCTTATCCTTTTTTTTTTTTTTTACTCAAAACTCCTGTCCTGCCTATTTTTTTCAAATTGCATCCTAGCCCCCCATAAAAATCAAATGGTAGCTCCCTAATGTTAATAATATGGCAATTAAATTTGTATTACCCGCATTTACATAATTTCATATTATGAGTAAATGACTTAGAGAGTTATTGGGAACTCATTTTACTGTATGAATAAAAATATAAGATAAACACCAATAAACAAGCAACCCCAAAACACAATAAAACTAATAAAAAAAATTTGAGGTCAACATACAGTTTGTCTCATTGCCAATTATACCACATATTCTTATTTTTTACACTGACACTGGAAATTGAAGATTGCCTATACTTTGAATTATCAAGCTTTCAGACTTTATCACTCAGATTCAGATTCAAGTTATTTATATTTCGTAAAAGCAACATCCCATGAATATACATATCCCAGTTGATACTATTTTCCCGGGCTTTAGTTTCCTATCATTATTTCCTTAAAAGAGGGTTGCTACTTACAAGTAAACTATTGAACCCTTCTTTAGCACTATTGTTCATTGCTGGTATTGATGTGGTTCGTGTGTCTTAAATCTGTGAGGTCTTTTGTGGATTATTTTTTGTCGTGGTGTCGTTTTTCTTTGGTCCATGGTGTTGTTTAAGTTTTTCCTTTCAACTAATGGTATTTCATTACTTCCTTGGTATCCTTTCATCCTTTATCATAAAGGAAATAAATCGAATAACACCTGTTGTAATTATTGAAAAAAATTAATGGCGAATAGCAAATGATTACGAAAACAGGTCCTATACTGGATTACTGGTTTCTGGTTTGGAATGTGCACGCATGATTTAGCAGGTTCCCCAAAGTGTTAAACAGCTTAAATGGAACGAACTTAGTGATAAAAAGCGATTCTGATGACCGAATTGAAATTTGACTAACACAATTCATAAACAATGTCTGGTCAACAATTACTGTCAATATAGAAATAAGAAGTTGATGTATGATTGCCAATGAGACAACTCTCCTACAGAGACAATCATTGGCAATCATACCACATCTTTTTATTTCTATATTTATAGCAAGTGTTGTACAGACCTTGTTTATGAATTTTGTAAGTAAAATTTCAATTTGGTCGTCTCTTTTCACCCCCATATTCGTTCCAATTGAGTTGTTTAACACTTTGGGGAACCTGCTAACTCATGTGTGCAAAATTACATAGAAGTTAACAACTATAGCTTACCGCACAGCCTTCAAGTTACTAGTTTCAATCTTGGCATACGTAATATTGACTTTTAAATGGAAATATCGTCCTGTTGCAAATTTAAGGATTTATATCTTACTAGACTGCCATTTATGAAAGGTAATTAGAAATTGTGTAAACAAACAATATAAGCATACCTCAAGCAGTTTTATAGTCCAAGGATTGCGTTCTCATGCTAACTGTTATTCGAAGGATACTGATGCTGTACAATGGTCAGTACATTGTGTATCACATTTGACAGATTAGCAGTCACAATGTGTGAGTATGCTGGAATACAAAAGTCAAAGCTACATACACTACAAACCAGTAAAAGTCTGAAATGGCCTATATCTGTACTAGACTGTACTGATTTTTACTCGACCAGTCTGAATTGGTCTGAAATTTACTTGATAATACTCGACTGTAGTCTGAACCATACTTAACCATTTTATACGTGTCTGAACCATACTCGACCTAGTCTGAACCATGCTCGACCTAGTCTGAACCATACTCGACCTAGTCTGAATCATGCTCGACCTAGTCTGAACCATACTCGACAAAGTCTTAACCAACCTAGACCTATTTTTTGTATCTATCTATTATATTTCATCAATTTAGGAACTGTTTTTAACAACAGCTATTTCCCCTGGCTAGAAATTTGAACAACAATTTGAAATTAAAAATGTATTCAATATAGCATTGAAACCAAAATTTCACAATAAACATAATATAACTTCAACACCATATTCATCAACACTTATATACATACATATATATCACCTTTAAAATAAAAATAAAACAAGCTGATCAAATAATCTCAAAACTGAATTGTGACTAATATTTTTAATGTTATATTTTATGGTTACTGGACAATTTTCACCATTTACTTAAGCCTAGTAGAGATTTATGGTGTCAGTTGAGTTTAGTTAATAATGCAGTGAACATTTTTTTTTATTAAAATATATATAAAATAGCATATAAAGCAACTTGATAAATTTAAAAAATGACACCTTTGTTTTGTTAAACCAAGAATTTAATATAATCATGATAATAGAACTTCCATAGTAATCCTGTGATAAACTTTTAAAAAAGGAAATGTGTTCCAAAGTTACAGTAAAAATTTATTTCAATTAAATTTAAATAATTTTTGTCAAAATTAAAGACATGGCACACAAGAAGCACTTTAATAAGGTTTAATTACCTCAGTACATGTATGTTTTACAGGTTAAAAGAAAGCCCTATTTTTCTTAAACTCGTGTATTACTTATCTAGTGAATTCAAGAGGCCTTGTGATTTAAGTTTCACAGGATGTTGCAATTTTGAATGAATGTTATTTAGAATTTAATACTCTCTGACCAGGTGTGATCTTTTTCATGAGTTTGCCCCAAGCAGGAGGTATTACTTTATACTTCACCACTAATCAGAAGAACAATTTTATTAATTTCTTTATTTTTTATCCCTTTTTGATATATATAGTATATAATTAATATATCCCAAATTATAATAATAGATATATTTCTAAAATAAGGTAAAACAATTTCAGTGATTTTGTTGGCTGTTGTTACCTCATTAAAAAGATAATTATATAACTATTGTACATTTTGTGTATGTAACCATGAAACCTATGTATTTTTTATTTAGAAATTAAGGGAAATTAATTTAAAAAAAAACACATGCCAAACAAGAAGCACCTTAATAAGGTTTAATTACCCTCAGTATAGGTGTGGTTTTTAGGTAAAAGAAAATCTTTTTTTAACAAAACTCAAAAACTTTAAAATTAATATAATTAAATTATTACATAAGATAATTTGATTTAACTATCTCTATTTGATAAATCTGAGAATCATGTATTAAAGAATGTAAAAATCTGTTTTTATAATACATCTTTATTTTATTGTGGCTGTTGTCATGTCAGTTAAAAAGAAATTTATTTTAACAGTTAAAATTTAGAAAAAGTAGAGGTTATTTGGTCAAGTATGGTTCAGACTGGTCGAGTATTGTTCAGACCTTTGGTCGAGTATGGTTTAGACTGAAAAAAATAGGTCGAGTACAGGTCGAGAATGGGTTAAGACAGTTTCAAACTGGTCAAGTAATAGTTCAGACTATTTTCAATGGCAAAGATAAGGGTCAAGTACAAATCAGTACAGTCGAGTATGGTTCAGACTGGGGTCGAGTAATGTCGAGTAAAATTCAGACCAATTTTGACTGGTCGAGTAAAAATCAGTACAGTCGAGTACAGATATAGGCCATTTCAGACTTTTACTGGTTTGTAGTGATAACTACGGATGAAGTTCTCAAACCAAAGTATTTAAAAAGCAGTTTTTAATCAACAAATCACAAAAACATGTCTCGTTAAAATAAAATATCACCACAATTCTACCTAGTATTTTGAACCAAAAAAATACTACAGCGTTCCTAGACGAAATTATATAAAAAAAACTTTTGTCTTAAGGTAGCACAATACAAAGATTTTTTTACTTCCAATCTCCAACCTTTGAAATGCTGTTACTTTCTTAAAAATGCATATAAATTAATAAAAGAGGTATATATAGATAGATAAAAGATTAATCTTTTAAATGAATGCAATATTTTTGTTATGCAATCATTATGTAATCAATTATCATGCAATTAATGGCAAAATCTTGGTCAGTTCACTTGAATGAATTTAGCTCTTTCATCTCTATAACTATACAGGAAATTGTAACGAAATCTTAATCAACACAGCAGGAGCTACAAAAGGGTGTCTCAAATTATCGCTGTGGTATTCCATTCTCTCATAAATCTGTAATTAGTGTAAACATCCTGACCACATAAAAGTAGATAATGTTTGATTAGGTGTAAAATTTTATCTATACATTCTATCCGAAATCTGAGACACCCTTTTGTAGATAATGGCTCTAGGAACAACATATAATAAAATCAACCCTCTAGGGGTTACCATGAAGAAGCTAATTTCAATTGAAGGTGGAAATTTCTTATAAAATTTTGTAGACACAGTTAACATTATAATTGATTACATAATTGTTGTATAATACTAACATTGCATTAATTTGAAAGAGTAATCTGTTAGCTATCCATAAATACCACTTTTATAAATTTTCAAGCATTATAAAGAAAGTTTTAAAACTGGGGAATTGGAAGTATAAAATCTGTGCTACCTTAAGGGGTAAAATTTGATGACTTTTGGTTTGATTATTTTTCAAAATTCAATATTTACCTTATATATATATATACCATATACAAACTTTTCAGCCCATAGTTCCATGTAAACTATAGTGATGATTATGAGAAAACTCTTTACAAAAACCTCATTTAAATTTCATCGGATGCCTTGGTGGCACTGGTGGCATAAAATGTTCATTGCAACAATAGGAATTTAATCTTCTGTAAATCTTTTAGGCTAATGTTATTTACTAGTATACCGCGAAGAAATCATGTCTGAATGTGCTATATACTCATCTTCAATTGGTTCTAATCGGGGGAAAAGTAAGACTTGCAGTGGCAACCTTGTGTTCTTATTTAATATAAAAAAGAAATATTGAAGATGCGTCACTTTTTAACACTATAAAGTGATTAACATGTCGAAATTGATATATGTGACCACAAATGGCCATATCAAACATAATTTGTTTGCAAAACTAATTATATAGCATAAACAAAGCATGGCCTTTGATTCAACCGAGGCAGGGAATCTGAAGAATATTTTTAATTTACGGATATTTATAAAATATAGTCTAAAAAATATTTTAACTGCCATACTTATAGACTCTGTATAATTTAAGTTTTTCAAGTTTCTTCAAACTTCCGGTTAAACCACATGAATAAAGGTACACTTCGACACTTCAAATTAGAATACATAGAATATAGTAATTTTTCTAGTTTTTGATAAACATACAGGAACAAGAAAAAAAGACCAATGTGTTTATATTTCTTTTAAACTACTTTTCAACAGAATCAAACATTTGTTTTCACTTTACTTTTGAAATAGTATATCCACAATTTTTGGTTTAAGAAACAAGCAATTTGTTTAAAAAAGATACTCCAGTCCCCTACACAAGATGAAAAGCTGTTGTTTAAGTTTGAAATAAGAAAGACATATATTTGCATTTCAGTTTTTTTTGAAATCTTTGAAGTATAGCATGAAGCGCTGAGCTATCTTCCTTTTTCTTGAAAAAAGAAAACTGCAAAGATGGATTCTTTTACAAAGGGACTGAAGTTTTTCATTGTTGCTTTGAATTTCATATTACTGGTGAGTATTCCAATTAAGCATAGGACATCACAAAAAACTACATTCATATTTATAATAATAATAATCATGTCATGATACTAATAGTATTGATAAGATATATTAATCAATAAAAAGAAAACACATTCATAAGAAGGAAACAAATAAAATTATTTCAAGTAAGGAGAAAAAAAAAATAGCACAGAAACAGAAAAAATAACTCGATAACGCCAATTAGAATAAGTGGCATTGGTGCATGAGGTGAAGATAGTTGAAGGTCATACAGTGACCTGTAATCGTTAATAGACCACTCTCGAATTCATGCACTTTCACGTAAATTTCTTGTGTCACAGTGTATATGTTATTACGTCGAATTAAGAACCGATTGTTCGATGGCGTCGTTTACGCCGATCAACCTCGGGTCTACTGGTAGAACTCATTCATAAAAACAACTCGAGACTGTTGTATGGATAGTTCTCATTGACAATAACAGCATGTCGCCTGTTTTTGTTTACTAGACTAAATAGAATAAATCCCCATAAGTAAGAATAGGTGTTTATGAATGACTGTTATAAAGGGTAAAAAAAACCACATTGACTTCTAAGCGCTCCTTTCAAATTCAGAAAAACAAAAACAAGTATATTCTGAAAAAATGTCAAGACACTCAAGTTGCATTAAAAGATGTGCGAAAAAGGTTTGTGACCTTAAAGTGTAATGGAATTTATCTTTGGTAAGAATTACTAGAAATTTCGGTTAACAAAGACTTCAATTCTATGTTATCTCAGGAGTAAGAGTTATTCATACATTTGTACCATCATTGATTTTGTTTATAATAAATTAAAACATGCTTAATTGCTATACAGTTATGCATGATGATACTTTTAATTATGCATTGTACAATGTCGTGTTACTTCTCAGGCTGTTTATGATTTTTTTTACAATAATTTCATTGGATGTGCACTGATTGATATGTTAATCTGGTAAAACATGATTTATTTATTAGTTGTAGTGAGCTTTCAACTATACTGTTAAGTAACTGCTAGTCTGTCAAATCGGTGCTTTGTTTCTTTTGAGTATCTGTTAGTTGTTATGTTCTTCGTGTCAATCAGACGAGTCAAACCCAGAAGTTACACTACTGTTCCTGGTTCCTGGAAAAGTAATGCTTTCCGACAAATGTTACTGTTCTTTTTCACTGGTTCAACCCAACATAAAGCATTTCCTTTCTTTACAAGGCTCAATGACACACAACACAAATATTCTGTGGGATGTCAGTTTGAAAAATTCAGTCGTTTAATAATGCAATAGAAACATAAATACAACAATCTACAAAATACAATTACAGAACATTAGAATCAATTTACAACTGTATGAATAAGAAAAATGAAAAAAAATACTGCAAATTCGGCAGTGTACACGTGCATCTATTCAATTGTACAATTTTATAAAACTAGTTGTATACGTGTGAAAGACAGTACACATAAAAAAAAAATATTGTTATTTCAAAAAGTCAAACAGACTTAAATAATAGTAGCAGTTTTAATTTTAAACTTGTAGACTTGTTGAATACAATCCGTCGAATGATTCAAATTCCCGCTAATAATGCACGGGTGGATTAGGTTGGTTCTCTCCGTAAAATATTCAGTATGCCGTCGGCAATGTTCTACGGGTTGATTATTATGGACAGGAATAAAATCTTTTGACATAGTATGGTCGCGTGTAAAGATTTTTGACATAGTATAGGCAGGTATGCATACTTTTTTCATGGTTAGTATAGTAGGTATAAAGACTTTTAACATAGTAATATAAAATAAGGAGATGTAGTATGATTGCGATGAGAAAACTAGTCAACAAAGTATAAATATAATGGATTTAAGCAATTATAGATCACCGTACGGCTTTCAACAATGAGCAAAACCCCATTATACTTTCTGTTTTAAAGACCTTTCGGGATCCTCTGGTTTTGTCGGATTAATACACACCTTCAAAAATTTGAAGGCTGAAATTTCATTGGCTGATGTAATAATTACTATAACGGAGTGTTGCCGGATCCTTCTAAGCAAAGCTTAAACACATGAACTGTTTTTTTAATCCGATTGAACACAACCCATACCGAATAGTCAGATATAAAAGGCCCAGACATGAACAAAATGTGAAAAAATTCGAATGAAAAAACTAACGGCCTGCTTTTACTGGCATACACATAGAGTGGCGGGGTTTCACATGTTTGTGAGGTCAAAGCCTCCCCTATACTTAAACTATGTTATAACAGCATACGAACAAACTGTAAAAATCAGTTGGAGATGGCTTGACTCATCAGAACGGTACGATGTTCAAACGCAACTAACAAAAGATAAAAGACACAAAGAATCGAACTTATCGTACTTGAAGTTACTGAAACTAGACCAAAGCATGAAAAAAAGTAATAAATAAATCATGTTCTCTCAGACTTAAGTACATTTCAGGTTACATCCAACGGATTAAGTGTGACGACGTCATTAACTGTCTGAGCATGACCTTATCCAATGTCAAAATAGAAGTACACAATATAGATACGACGTAGGACCATAAGTTTTCATACATGTAGAGTAATACTTATTTCGTTTGTTTCAATTTATCAAAAACAAAATCAATGTTTGTAACGATAGGAATCTTGGACTTCAAATCAAAATCTTTGTATGTTTTTTGAAAGAATTAAGCAATAGTTTTCAGTACTTTATGGAAACGAATAATAAATTACCAGTTATTTCAGTTCATTAAAACCTAAAAAGCCGATACAGAAGAGTGCACAGAGAACGATTTGGGAAATATATTCCACCGTAACATGGGTCAAAGGGAACATCACCGTTCAAAAAAGGAAAATTAACAATAGGGAACGAAAATCGTCTCTTGTACAGTATATTTTTGTTTTAATTTCCCTCACGTGAAACTGAAAATTTACAAATATAGTAAAAGAAAAAAATTATTGCTGTTAGTATAGAGAATTATTAATCACTCAAAGGAAAAATATCATCAAGGTAACGGTAAGTGTTATTGAATTTATCAATAAAATAGAGTTTAGACACATTTAGTAAGTATGGGCAGGTATAAGTTCAAACGCCATAGTTGGTATGCAAATGTATAACGATTTTTAATATAGTAACTATAGTAGGTATAAAGACTTTTAACATAATATAGGCAGAATAAAGACTTTTGACATAGTTTGGACAGATATAAACACCTTTGACATAGTATGGGCTGCTGGTATAAAGCCTTTTGATATAGTTAGAATAGTAAGTATACATACTTTAAACGTAATATGGGCAGGTATAAAGACTTTTAACTTCAGATAAGCGACATAAAGACTTTTGACATAGTATGGACAGATATAGACTTTTGACATAGTATGGACAGATAAAGACTTTTGACATAGTATGGACAGATATAGACTTTTGACATAGTATGGACAGATATAGACTTTTGACATAGTATTGACAGATAAAGACTTTTGACATAGTATGGACAGATATAGACTTTTGACATAGTATGAACTGTAGGTATAAAGACTTTTAATATAGTAAGTATAGTAGGTATAAATACTTTTAACATTATATGTACAGGTATAAAGACTTTTGATATAGTAAGTATAGTAGGTATAAATACTTTTAACATTATATGGACAGGTATAAAGACTTTTGATATAGTAAGTATAGTAGGTATAAATACTTTTAACATTATATGGACAGGTATAAATACTTTTAACATTATATGGACAGGTATACATACTTTTGATATAGTAAGTATAGTAGGTATAAATACTTTTAACATTATATGGACAGGTATAAAGACTTTTAATATAGTAAGTATAGTAGGTATAAATACTTTTAACATTATATGGACAGGTATAAAGACTTTTGACATATCATAGACAGGTATAAAGACTTTTGACATAGTATTGGCAGAGATAAAGACTTTTGACATATCATTGACAGGTATAAAGACTATTGACATAGAATGGGCGGGTAAAGATACTTTTTACATAGTATGGGCAGGTATAGAGTCTTTCGACATATTATATATGGGCGGATATAAAGATTGTTGACATATTATGGGCATGTATAAAGACGTTTGATATAGTATGGGCAGATATAAACACTTCGTAAATAGTATGAGCAGGTATAAAGACTTTTTACATAGTAATGGTAGGTATAAAGACTTTTGACATAGTTAGAATAGTAAGTATACATACTTTAAACGTAATATGGGCAGGTATAAAGACTTTTAACTTCAGATAAGCGACATAAAGACTTTTGACATAGTATGGACAGATATAGACTTTTGACATATAATGGACAGATAAAGACTTTTGACATAGTATGGACAGATATAGACTTTTGACATAGTATGGACAGATATAGACTTTTGACATAGTATTGACAGATAAATACTTTTGACATAGTATGGACAGATATAGACTTTTGACATAGTATTGACAGATAAAGACTTTTGACATAGTATGGGCTGCTGGTATAAAGCCTTTTGATATAGTTAGAATAGTAAGTATACATACTTTAAACGTAATATGGGCAGGTATAAAGACTTTTAACTTCAGATAAGCGACATAAAGACTTTTGACATAGTATGGACAGATATAGACTTTTGACATAGTATGGACAGATAAAGACTTTTGACATAGTATGGACAGATATAGACTTTTGACATAGTATGGACAGATATAGACTTTTGACATAGTATTGACAGATAAAGACTTTTGACATAGTATGGACAGATATAGACTTTTGACATAGTATGAACTGTAGGTATAAAGACTTTTAATATAGTAAGTATAGTAGGTATAAATACTTTTAACATTATATGTACAGGTATAAAGACTTTTGATATAGTAAGTATAGTAGGTATAAATACTTTTAACATTATATGGACAGGTATAAAGACTTTTGATATAGTAAGTATAGTAGGTATAAATACTTTTAACATTATATGGACAGGTATAAATACTTTTAACATTATATGGACAGGTATACATACTTTTGATATAGTAAGTATAGTAGGTATAAATACTTTTAACATTATATGGACAGGTATAAAGACTTTTAATATAGTAAGTATAGTAGGTATAAATACTTTTAACATTATATGGACAGGTATAAAGACTTTTGACATATCATAGACAGGTATAAAGACTTTTGACATAGTATTGGCAGAGATAAAGACTTTTGACATATCATTGACAGGTATAAAGACTATTGACATAGAATGGGCGGGTAAAGATACTTTTTACATAGTATGGGCAGGTATAGAGTCTTTCGACATATTATATATGGGCGGATATAAAGATTGTTGACATATTATGGGCATGTATAAAGACGTTTGATATAGTATGGGCAGATATAAACACTTCGTAAATAGTATGAGCAGGTATAAAGACTTTTTACATAGTAATGGTAGGTATAAAGACTTTTGACATAGTTAGGGCAGATATACACACTTTTGAGATAGTATGAGCAGATATGAGGACTTCCGACATAGTATGGGCAGACATAAACACTTTTGACATAGTTTGAGCTGTTGGTATAAAGACTTTTAATACAGTAAGTATAGTAGGTATAAAGACGTTTATGATAATATAGACAGATATAGAGACTTTTGACATAGTATGGGCAGATATAAAGACTTTTGACATAGTATGGGCAGGTATAGTGACTTTTGACATAGTATGGGCAGATGTAAAGACCTTTGACATAGTATGGGCAGATGTAAAGACCTTTGACATAGTATGGGCAGATATAAAGACTTTTTAAATAATTAACATGGACAGACATAGAGACTTTATACATAGTTAGAACGGACTGATATAACTATTTTTCACATAATATATGGACAGGCATAGCGACTTTTGACATAAATCGTATTGGTATGTATAAAGACTATATAAATAGTTAGTATGTGAAGGTATTAAGACTTTTATCTTAGTATGGGCAGGTATAAATCTTCTGACATGGTATTAGAAGGTATAAATAAAGGCAACAGTAGTATACCGCTGTTCAATAGTCATAAATCGATTAAGCGAAAACAAAGCCGGGTCACAAACCAAAACCGAGGCACACACATCAACTATAAGAGGAAAACAACGGAACAACAGAAACACTGAACTTCAACAAAAAACAAACGCCAACATACATAGAAACGGACTATTTGATAACAACTGCCATATTCCTGACATGGTACAGGATAATTTTAGGAAAAATTGGTGGGTTGAACCTGGTTTTATGGCTAGCCAAATCTCCCGCTTATATGGCAATGTTAAAAATACCTCTAAAATGACAACATTACGTGACAGGAATACAGTACAAATAAACGCAAAAACACTCAGGACTCAGAAACACATAAATAAATAATATAATAGTACATTACAACATGTAAACCACAGAATAACAACGGACACCACCCAAGAATCCACGACAGTACACCAGGACACCATAAACGAATTAAAAACTGTGCGTCACACGAATGTATCAACGCCACAAAAAGACTTTTGACATAGTAAAAACAGTAGGTTTACAACGTTTGACATAGTTGGTATGGGTAGATATACAGACTTTTGACATAATATGGGCTGCTTTTATAAGCACTTTTGACAGAATTTGGGCTGCTTGTCTAAAGAATTATGACATAATATGGGCTGCTTGTATAAATAAATTTGACATAGTATGGGCTACTTGCAATTGTCTAAAGACTTTTGACATAATATGGGCTACTTGCATAAAGACTTTTGACATTATTAGTATAGGCAAGTATTAAGACATTGTCAAAGTTTGGGCAGGTATAATAGCTTGAAATAGAATGACCATGCAATAAGAATTTTTACATGATTAGTATGGGCAGGTATTAAAACTTATGACAAAGTAAGTATGGCTAGTTATACAACTTTTGACATAGTATGAGCAGGTATAAAGACTAGGGACATACTAAGGATGGGCAGGTATAATGATGTTGAACATAATTCGTATGGACATATATTTCCACTTTTGACAAAGTTAATATGATAGGTTTAACGAATTATGATATAGCTAGTATGAATAGGTATGAAGACTAAGAATAGTTTGAATGGACAGATCTAAAGACAGCATCATCTATCTGTGATTAAAATGTTATATTGTATGTTACAGCACTTTTGATTGGGTGACATCTGTCGTTAATTGCACGATTGACAGTCGGATATATATAGGCATTTCATTTTGAACATTTAATTAGATTTTTATTAGAATAGGAACAACATTACTATGTTTGGAGAGTTGCAATCATTCATTCGAGATTTAACGGTCGAAAATATCCGTTTTATTTGTTATGCTTTTGTAATAAAACCCATTTGCGACAACAAAGTCATATATAGACATTGGCAACTCTTCAAACACAGTACTGTGTTTCCTAAATATGAAATGAAAAGAGTAACAATTAATCAACGCCGTTGTTTTTCTTATCATTTGTCAAATGTTTTGCTCCACTGACCAAATGTTCAAGGACTGATTTTTTGGATTTTCATTATATAACATTTGTCTCCTCACAGTTCGGAAGTATTGTATTGCTGGTATTTGGGATCCTGTTTCACACTGGAGCAAACTTGGACTTTATCGAGGCATTGGAAACCAAGACAAAGGATAACATCCGTGATTTAATAACAACGACTGGCATTGGTGATGTAAACAACATTGATAGATTTAGTTTTACTCAGCTCCTAGGCGGATGGTTAGCGCATTCGATGATAGGTGTGGCACTTTGCATGTTCGTTCTGTCATTCAGTGGCTGTTGTGGGGCCTGGTACAAAGTTAGATTGTTGTTGTTGATTGTGAGTATCCCAATTAAACACATTACAATATTAAGATATGCATCGACAGTTAACACGGCAAGTTAAAATCACTTATCCTAGCTTATGCGAAACTTTTACAAATTCAAATTTTTACCATTCTGTTTTGTTCACACTAAAATTTCAGTGCATGCCAGTGTCTGTAATTCCTATACACTGTAATGTGTATGTGAATGCCAAAATCTACACTTGCAGATTTTTTTCTGTATAGTGGTAATATGTCATTTTTATATCACCTGACAGTGTCCGACTATTGTCACACATAGGGATCACGTTTGTTAATACGCAACAACTTAAATAGAGATTGACACCATTCCACAAAACTTGCACATATTTTTCTTTAGGCCATAAAGTTGTTCGAACATCCTCATTTAAAATTTTGATACATATATAAGTGATTTATGGGGTTTCACACACCAAAAAAAAACGGTTTCTGCTGTTTCTACAAATATGTTTTAAAGACGGCAGGCGACACACGTCTTCTTCCGAAAAATCGCTAATTTTCAAATTATTGACCATCTGAACCAACACCTTATTAAATTTTTATTATTTCTTTTAATTTTAATAAAATAATTTGACTTAACCGATGACCAATATAGTTCAGTATTAAAGAAGAATGTGTTATGATGTCACCTTTCATCCCTTGATTTCGATTATAAATCTATCAAACAAAACACTTCCGATGTTCATAATACAAATATGTCTTTCAGACATCAATGTTTATGTTTTTGAATTTTGTGTTACATATTTTCATAAGGGTTCAAACATTTTGCATGAAGTGCAAAGTTGCAAATAACCTGATTTTGAAATCTTTTAACTGATTTTAATATATGAGCAAAGGCCATCACCACAAATTACATTGGACTACAAAAACATATTTTACAAATATGTTGATATGGTCATAATTTTAATGAAACTGTTTACAAAATTTAGAATATTTCGAAATACTAAAGATTTTCTACCCCAGGAATAGATTACCTTAGTTATATTTGGCAAAACCTTTCGGAATTTTGGGTCCTCAATACTCTTCAACTTCATACTTTATATGTCCGTTTTAAAATATTCGAGAGTCACTGATGAGTCAAAATAATATTTTGGGTAAGGCCTTGGCTTTTATATATTTCATTCGAAGTCTAGACTGAATATTTTAGATCAAGCAATTAGATTTAGGTGTATGACTTATAGTGAAATCACAAGTAACCTAAAATTTTAAGATTATACATCAACCTGTTCATTTATTAATAAGATTAACAACATTTTGAAAGGTTTAAATAATATTGCTGCTTTTGCAATGTCAGATCTAAGGGCCAAACAATGGCTCTTATGATACCTCTTTTTTTCCGACAATTAAATTTGGAATATAAAATCTTATATTCAATTTCAGTATATCATAGTGCTGAGTATTATAATGTTTGTGGAAGTACTAATCATAGTGCTTATGTTTACAGTACCATTAACTGTAAGTATAAACAGTCACTTAGATATTTAAATGTTACAATATCTAAAATATAGTTATTAACATAAGATTTCGGTAACTTCTCTCTTTGTAACTATAGTTTTGTAGTATATTCTAGAGACGGGTTTAAGTGGGGAACGCCTACCCCTTATGGAGCTGCATATATGAATAATGCATATATTTTCTTGAAGTCCCAGGCCAAACTTTGCCTTCATCTCTTCCCCCTCCCTCCCGCCCACGTTTCAAAATAATTTGTGATATACATATGTAGCTCATCAAGTATTTAAGTACTTGTACACCCTTCGGTTTTGAGCACCAAATGTATAAATAATTATTTACATTTATAAAATAAAACTGCACCACCGATAACACACGGTAAATTTAACAATAATTATATATGACTCATTACTCAGGACATAAAAGTATCGTTTACATTAATCCACCAGGTTTTAGTTTGGGTTCGTGTTGCTCAGTCTTTAGTTTTCTATGTTGTGTTTTGTATAATGTTGTTTGTCTTTTTGTCGGTTTTCGTTTTTTTGCTATGCCGTTGTCAGTTTGTTTTTGACTTATGAATTAGAATGTCCCTTTTGGTATCTTTTGCCTGTCTTTTATAGAAGTTGGAGAAAAGGCGTTCTACATATCGACGAAAACTCTTTTATGAATTGGCTCCTGGTTTATCTTAAACTTATCAAAACTCAAACTTCAATTAACCAGCAACAATTTTTTTTTAAATCTCAGATATTAAATACTTTCATTCTAATATTTATATAACTCAAACAAGTAAAGTGTTGTCCTTTTGATTTTTCGTATGGTTTAATATTAATATTATCAAAGGTTATTACTAAATAAATGTTGTTATATACGTATGTGTTGTCATGTTATTTCCTTAGGACCTAAACAAATGATTCATCAGTACTACACTTATTAATGAATTTCCAATAATAAGACGATATCCAAGGGGTCGCTGTCATAGATACAACATATGTAATACATAAACTTTTTACTGTTATGCTTCTTGTTATTTTAAAGATTCAAGGTCAAATTAAAAGGGAGATGGACTTTACAATAGCAGACTTCCAAGGATTGGCGGGAAACAATGACAGGACACTAGGATGGATGTTTATTATGGACTACGTTTGTATATTTAGATGATTAAAAATAACATCTGTTCCTATATAGCAATTTCATAAATGTAAAAAATATATGATCGTGAAATGATAAAAGTAACTATGAAATTTTAAGAAGAACAATGGACATGACAGTATGACAATTTCAGTCCCCGAGGGTATCATCAGCTCAGTAGTCAGTGCTTCGGAACTGACATGATTTATAACAAACTTTTCTAAAATTGTCCGTTTATAAATTTTGAAATTATAAAGAAACTAAGGTTTCAACTCCCTCAGGCAAAGTTGACCTTAGATGAATTTGGCTATTTGTTTTAGGTATTTTTGTCATATAGTTCTTCAACTGTTTCGGGTTTTTATACATCCCTCGGATTTCAAATGTTTGGCATTGAGCGTTCCTGGTGAAGGTAAATCCAGAAAAGCGCTTCGGACGCATGAAATTATTAAACGTGTTGTTTTCAATTGTTTTCAATTAAAATAGTTACAATGCACAATTCTATCTGGCTTATTACTAGTTTCAATGGTTTCTGTATTTACTATGAATAACATTTATTTTTTACTTCGATTTTGAACTCGACGATTGCCGAGGATGTCAAAAATCTAAGCGAAATTACTTTTCAAACATTAAATTTGCATTATCATAGAAATAAATTATTTCGCGATACTTGTGGGTTTAACCGTGCTAAACTCTTTAATCGTTGAATATCGCTCACAAAATTATGATTCATTTGTAGTATAAATGCTGCGGAACGGAGACATACAAAGATTTCCAGAACGAGGCAACTGTTTGGGATAGGACTCCGGGTTCTATTGTCACCCGGATTGATGCTCCTTTAATATGTTGCAACAGTTTACCCACAGGTGGCGCTGATAATGATGTCAAATGTGCCAGAGAGGCTTCAAAGGATATTTATACTGAGGTTACTACTATATCAATAAGGATTGAAAATTCTTCTTAAAAAAAGAATTAGCGATCAAGCAAAAATAAATATACTAGTCAACAAAAGAAACGATTCAAGGCGATCCATTTTTCATTAATAATGGAATTGATTAAATGGTACCCAACTAAAAAATCCTCAATTGGTATAATATTTGAAATATAAACATGGTCAGATCACAATTTTAATGCCTTTACAGATACATCTTCCCTTTAGTATCTTTCGCATTTCTTCAGAATTGATAGGCGATCTTTATAATCTTTTCCGATAAATTTGACCCCTGTGTTCAATAACATGATATTGTTTTCACTTTCCTACAAATTTTTTATTCAACGGTTTTCTGGATTTATTATATTTTATGAGGAGTTGAAGTTCAAACTTGCTTATCGTTAATTATATGAAAGTTGATTTTAATGTGCATTACAATTTGTATCTAGATCGATGTGTCTTTCAGTGTTGAGTCCGGTATTAAATTGAAATACAGATCATATTTCAATATTGTCGACGAGCAAGGAATAATTTTATTAAAAAAAAACTCACAAATGAATCATTTGGAACACTTGCTAGTCGAGTTCTTTTTAATGATGCAGTTACGACTCAACAAATATTTTTTGTAACTTATTTTAATATTTGGAATAAAGTACAAACACGAGAAATATAATAGAAAAATGGAAATTAAGAACGAATGTGTAATTTGGGATGATTCATCGGGTTACATCAGCACTATGAAAAACTCCGAATTCCGAAACAGCGGCGACGTTGCTGTGCTTAACTTTCACAAATAGGTCAACGTAGTGTAGCAAAGATATTACCACTGTTTCGGAGTTTTGTATTTTGGAAGATTCAAAACAGATTCATTGTTCTAAATGATTTACACATATGCCGCTGTAATCTTGTATTTACAGGGTTGTTTTGATGTTATCTGGAACAAAGTGTTAGAGAGTTCAATGTATACCTATGTCGTGATTGGTAATGTTTTCCTTCTTCAGGTAAGTGCTTGTAGGTGTCGGTACATATACATTAATCAATACTATCGAAGTGTACAAAAATGAAACCAAGAAATATATGTATTGGCACAAAAATGAGAATCTAACAATTGCTCTTTACAGTAACTCTTGCTGGGTACAAAAGTATTCTACCCCCTTTTTATATTGCACAAACTAGTGTTAAATTCTATTCTAGTAATTTATTTAATGCATTTTTAGCCTATACCGAAGGGTTCATAGGATCTGATAACGTGCAATAATCACGTAATCAACGAAAAAGATTGGTTTGGGATGGGCACATAAATAATGTGATTGTGGAAAAACAACTAAGTAAGGGATAAACCCCTTCATTAATCTGAAAAAAATGGTGTAACAGCACAAAATAAGGGCTTTAAAAATCAGTTTAAAATCTTGTGTCCCACTAAATATCGAAACATCTGGGTGATAGTTCTTTTCAGTTGCAAGTCTAATGTGGGAAATTATTTTCCTTCGGTGTAATTCATAATTCAAGGTTCTGTAAACTGAATTAAAAATATTAGATAAATAAAGAAAATTCACAATTCTGGTTTATGCAAAGTCATTGCTGTGTCAGTATCATACAAATACAGTTCTTCTAACACTTAAAAACTATATAGCTTCTATTATATACAGGAAAGGCCTATTTCGGTTCATGCAAGGTACATTTTAGTGGGTATTTTCGTGTAAATTGTAATGAAAATAGTAAGTTTTGATTTAGCCTATTGGAAATATGTTTTGATGTATAATAACGTGAAAACAAAGTTTGGTTCTCTTTTTTTTTTACTGACTAAGAAGCAATATTTTTACATGATTTTGTTAATTTATGAAAATTGTGAATGATCTTGTTTTTTTCAACAACAAATTGCACTTCTGCTGTTAACAATGTTCTTCACTAGTCCATTATTCCAGTGAAGAGTCCATGTTTGTTTATATCAGAAATCCAATGTTGTTTTCTGGTTAGCATCATTCTGCTTCTGAATGACCATGTTAAAAACTCTCTTCTATTAAATCAAGATCTTCCAGATTGGAATAAAAATAAGATGATATTGTATGTTTGTCATTGAGACGACTCACCACCAGATACCAAATTACGGAAAAGATTAGCAGTTATAGGTCACCGTACGACCTTCAACAAAGAGCCAAAATAAACAAACCGCAAAGCAAGCTATGAAAGACACCAAAATGTCATATATAATATAATTAAAACGAGAAAACTAACGTGACAGTCAGGCCGACTTATGTATAAAAAATTATTGAAAAACAAATATAATATACAGTAACAAACGATAACCACTGAACTACAGGCTCCTGATTTGTGACAGTCACATACATAATGTGGCCGGGTTGAATAGATTTGCGCGCATGCGAATCATCCCCTTACCTGGGACTGTGATGTTACAGCACACCATATAGATATAAGAAGATGTGGTATGAGTGCCAATGAGACAACTCTCCATCCAAGTCAAAATTTATAAAAGTAAACCATTATAGGTCAAAGTACGGTCTTCAACACGGAGCCTTGGCTCACACCGAACAGCAAGCTATAAAGGGCCCCAAAAATTACTAGTGTAAAACCATTCAAACGGGAAAACCAACGGTCTAATCTATATAAAAAACGAAAAACGAGAAAGACTTATGAACCACATCAACAAACGACAACTACTGAACATCAGATTCCTGACTTAGGACAGGTGCAAACAATTGCAGCGGGTTTAAACGTTTTAATGGTACCAAACCTTCATCCTTATCTGAAACAATAGTGTAAAATCACAACAAAGAAAGACACACTATAAAATATCAATTGAAATGGCTTAACTCAATCAAAAGACATATTAACACCAGTGAACATACACTGAAAAAATAAATTTGATCTATGATACAATGTAAATACAAAATAAATAAACTTAGGGAAGAATAATTAAAGTAACATGTCATACCGCTGTGAAATGTTAAACAATTTAAGAAAAACAATATGCTTGAACAAAAATACCAGCCATTTGCAATTACTTTAAGCACAGATCAATGAAAATAATTTTGTTGTTAGGTATACGGGTATAGTTCAAATGGAGAAAGGAAATATTTTTACAAAATAAATAATTTTGATGTTATTAGTACGAAGAAGTGAACATTTAAAGTAATACCAAACACTTATCAAAGCTGGTATATAGACCAGATATAACCCTGAATAAATAAACATTAAATAACAAAAAGCATTACAATTAGTATCAACAGGTCAAATAAACAAGAAAGTACGATTGGAGAGTACTCACAGTTATGTTTGTTCACCTTCAGTGCAAGTACCCATTGAACATGTTTTATAAAATCAGCCCTAATACAGATAACATGTGCAATACTGATGACGTCGCCTTGTTGATATTAATAGAACTATTCGATAGGGTCCAATATAGAAAAAGTCCTTGTTGTCTCAGAGGCTTATATAATATTCACTCCTGACTGTAAATGTTTTACGCGTCACCTAACCTTTGGACGTATGTGTATGCTACATTACACTACTGTACGAAAAAACAACTGTTCACATAGTGTTAGTCATTGCATGAATGCTAGTAGCTGTCAAGTTCTGACAGCTGCTAAAATTCGTTCCAATAGTGAATGCTTGTTCGTCTAATCCAACAAGTGTTTGATTCAGTCCTTAATCTAATTTAATAACGCCCCAAAAAGGTTGTCACAGTTATAATACGACTGTTACAACTTCAAAACCTAAGACACTATATTGTTTATCTATTTCTGGAAATTTCAAATAATCATGCTAAAATCTCTCTCCAACAAAATCAAGATCTCCATGGTTAGAATAAAAAAAAAGGTGTGGTAGTATTGCCAGTGAGACACATCTCTCCCAGATACCAAAGGAATTAAAAGGTAGGCACAGTTCATAATTATTGTGATGTACTGGTGCACTGTCGTAAATCCATGGGAAGTGTCCGTTTTCATTCTGTGGCTTACATGTTGTAATGTACAGTATAATATTTATTTATGCATTTCTCTGTCCTGAGTGTTCTTGCGTTTATTTGTACTGTATTCCTGTCACGTAATATTGTCATTTAAGGTTGCAATTCTGTAAATATAGACAATGCAATTTCCCGTAGGAACTCCCTTTGCGGCTAAAACTGTGACACTTTTACTATGAAGTTTCGTGAAAAATAATATCCCAGAACGGAAAGTTTATATGCACTACTATTTTATTCAAAGGTCAAAATAAAGGGCTGTGCGGCATATTTTCAACATTTATATGCCCTGAACTTCTAAGAGTTTAAACTTATACTAAAATTCTGTACTACCCTTACCTTCATATTTGGAACTCCTAAGAATTAAAATTTAGGCGCTACCATGTTTTTCTATACTGGTTACATTCCCAAGTGATGTCTCTATGAGATGAAACACAGAGATCATAAATGGGAACCAGTACATTAACAAATTAACATATCTATGAATATTATATATCTTCCCAAAAGAGGCGTGGTTTGAGAAACAGCTGTATTTACAAAGTGCAACCTTAAGCGGTATTTTTAACATTGCCATATAAGCAACATATATATACTAATGTTGCCTTTATTTATCAACTATAAGTTACCGAACGGCCTTCAACAATGTTTCTACATTAATCACATGCCAAAATAAAGCAAATTTTGAAAGAGCGTATTCTGTCACATTTTGTATTCATAAAACCTTTTCTTGGATGAAGCTATTATTTTATAAACTCGTTTAATGTTTGATTTCGATCCATTGTTAAATTTTCGTAAATTATTGATATGAAAAAAATATCACTTTTTCACAAGTGACTTTGGATGCGGTTGTATCCTTTATATCTATATCTTTCCGACAAGCATCGCAAATGAAATATAAACCTTTTATATGAATACATTTGTTAAATTTAAGTACCACAATTATTTCTCATATGATCTTCTGAAGACAAAGCAATTACCATTTCCATGGAATGTTTTTTTTTACACCAAATTAAAACTGTCACTCAGAAGGCATTTCTCACCCTCTAGTGTATATTATACAAAAGACCGCAAATGAAGTGAAATAACTGGAGTCAAATAAAATTTCGAAAACAGCTGCCAAGACAAGTAATTTGTCAGTTAGATAAAGGCAACAGTAGTATAACGCTGTTCGAAACTCATAAATCGATAGAGATAGAAACAAATCCGGGTTACAAACTAAAACTGAGGGAAACGCATCAAATATAAGAGGAGAACAACGACACAACAAAACACAACATTAAAATGTAACACACACAGAAACGAACTATAATATAACAATGACCATTTTCCTGACTTGGTACAGGACATTTTAAGAAAACAATGGTGGGTTGAACCTGGTTTTGTGGCATGCCAAACCTCCCGCTTTTATGGCAACGTCAAACACAACACCAAAACGACAACATCACATGACAGGACCACAATACAATGTTAATAGAGCAACAGGGTGTAATTAACACAACGCACGAGACTGAGATGAATCTTCCAATTTTCATCGTAATCAGCCTCGTTTCCATTTCTTTAAACATACAATTATTTGGTTTGATGATCCCACTAAGTGCAGCTGATCCTTTCTTATTTCACTGTTTAAAGTATTTTGATACACGACGTGATATTGCTTTTTTAACTTTTTTAATTCGAGCGTCACTGATGAGTCTTTTGTAGACGAAATGCCTTTCTGGTGTACAAAAATATAGGCATGGTAATCATAACTGTCTCCTTATTTTTATATTTCACTGGTATTTATAATGATTGTTTTAATCCTTTCGACAAACGAGGTTTCGATCCTTTTTTGGGTTTATTTGATTTCCTTGGTTTTTGTTTGGCACCTTGATTTGTATGTTTTTAATCGAAGTTATATTAATTTACATGTATATTTGATTAAATTTTATAAGTAAAAAAGTAAGTGACTTTTCCAGGGATGAAAACCATGTTCCTTAAAGTGCTGGAGTTCATTGGTTTGCATTTGGTTCGTTTTAAGACCGATTTTATGTACATTTTGCTTTCCAAGATAAATCCACAAATACGACTCTAATGTACCAATTATTAGTCTCTTGGATGTTATATGTCTACACGCAAAACCTACTGAGTACTAACAATATACCTATATACACACATACAAGTAATTTTTGTTTATTTAAAAAATATCATTATTATTATTTACTTCATTTATAAAAACGAATGTGTATATTTTTATTACAGATTCTATTGCTTCTTTCTTCAATAAAGTTTTATAGAGATGCAAAAGAAAAAAGGAAAGTCAAACCATTTAAACCTATACTGAAGAAAACAAAGGCTTATTATGGATCATAATTCTGAATATATATTTTTGCCTATTTCTAGCCAGAACTGTGCGTTTAAACTGCATGATGTTTGTTATGTTTTCTATAGTTCAACGAAATAGATATACTCGACCTGTTAGTCAAATGCGTTTTGTTAAAATATACTTTTTCACTTTTTTGGTCTTTTGGAAAATGTTGTTTGTGCTGTATTTAGACCCCTCTAACAAGAAATTTGTTTTGCATGCACACGTATAAAAATTGCGGTTTTTATCCAACGCAATCATAGGTTTGAACGTTGTTTTCAATTAAGACTTGTTTATATTTTTTCGTTTGGGCTTGTATTATATTTGCCTTCGGGTTTATATGATCTGTTCATCCTATTTGGCTCCTCGAAATTCAGGAGTCTATCCTAAATTGAGGTAAATTATGTGGCCTTCCAATAACCGTTTCGATTCCTAACATCACTGAAGAGACATTAATTGTCGAAATCTGGATATGGTGTACAAAAAATCTTTGCACCTCTGTTTGCGGTATATCATCTTTGCCGCAAGTTTATTGTTTTATGTTTGGTATTAAATTTATAGTTAAGATCCATTTATTACACCTTGTGATCCGTTTATTTGGCAATCGCCAATGGCATTCAGCAGGATTTAAGAACATTTGTTGTTCGACCTGTTAGTCAAATGCGTTTTGTTAAAATATACTTTTTCACTTTTTTGGTCTTTTGGAAAATGTTGTTTGTGCTGTATTAAGACCCCTCTAACAATAAATTTGTTTTGCATGCACACGTATAAAAATTGCGGTTTTTATCCAACGCAATCATAGGTTTGAACGTTGTTTTCAATTTAGACTTGTATATATATATATATATATATATTTATATAATCCTATTAACCTTTGTTTCATGTTAAGACATTTCACTTTATATCTTGAATCCAGTGAAAAATGACATTGACTTGTGGTAAAGGTACATAAAACTAGTTTCATTGTGACGCATTACTTACACCTGCCTTTTTGTACTTGTCAGTGTTAAAATAGCTATGTATGGCATTGTATATGAACTGAGAAATTTATTTACACCAGTTATAGCCCAGTGTTAAGGATTTTCTTAATTTAATCGCCGCAACAACTACACGGTTATATCATATATCATTCGATTGCCCTATGTGTGTACTCTAAAATCAATGTGGTCGCCAAAAAAAAAAAATGAAAATATTGTGCATTTTTTTTCAGAAATGACGATCACCAACCATTTTTCATAAAAAAATCCACTGAATATATTATTCCAATACACCTTTGTCAGAAGAGTGATTGCAAACTTGCATATGTGGTTTTCCTTAATCAATGTTTCTTCCCAAAAAAACAAAAACCATCATACAATTATTTTCCAGAGTAAACTACTGCGATTTTACAAAACATTTGAGTGGTGGATTAAGATTAAAAATAGATGTACTTTTTTCAAAATATTACTATAACGGACGTCAAATCTATACAAAATGTAAAGAACAATATGAAAATTATATGTATTTGACTATCTATAATACCTCAATGAAAGTGGCAAATTTTGAAAAATTGTGCATTTATAGTAGTTTGATACACGCCAAACTTGCAACAAAAAATATAACAATAGAAACATAAATCAGAATAAACAATCAAGTTTGAAAGGTATTTTGGTTGACTTACACCGCCTTTTATCCTTATTAAAAATTGTGAAAGTTTCGGTTGTTTATGAAGAAACTTTGTGACACAAAATAAAAAAAAATCTTTCTTTCAGGATAACTAAACATCGTACCAAAATTGTTTACTTAATCACTTTTACTTGACCTCACATGTCTTCTGTCTTCTAAATGTATGTATTGGAACATGTGTTTAATTGAAAGGTTCTGCTAAACAAATCACGAAAATAATCATCATTCAGTTTAAAGTTTTCTGATAGTAGATAAGAAATACGACCAACCAATAAAATAACGATTATGAATGTCAACTTTGCACATTTGACTTATTGTGCAATGGCATATATTGCTGGTCGAATGTTTGTGTAGCGTGTTTTTGGCAAGCATCATAGAACCTTTTTTCTTTGCAGTATACACTTTGGCCATATCATCTTGCTAAGTATCTAAAATTGGAGAATATAAAGAATTATTATACCTCAGTATGTTTTTTCTATATAAAAAAGAATGAAATATTTGTGCTTTTTCATTCCACAGACTATTTGCCAGTCAATAGTTTCAAACACTATTACCCCGGTTAATAGTTTTATCAACATATTTTCCGGATGTTTTCATACTAATTTTTCATTGGACAACACTGACGTCATTGATTATCATGCTTTGATTTGAGCGCTTGGCAACGCGTTCAATTCTGAAATATCGTAAACGTTATAATCTGTATGTGTCTGTCGTCGTAATTTCAAATTTACATGTATATTACTTACCAGAAACAATTAAAATAGAAAAAGAAAAACTACATATTTTAAGATCTAAAACAAAACAAATGTATGGTATGGGACTGTCGTCGTCTTCATAATCTGTGATTGCTTTGGTATACGGTAATATATTTTAGCTAGCATTTATTATATGCACGGGAATTATTACACAAGGATTTCCGGTCTTGATTACAGTAAATAAGATATTTACAAATACCACACGGGCAAAAGGAACCAAATAGTTCATCTTGTGCATGTTTAAGTGACTATTTGGGTGTTTTTAAAGTGGTGTATGTAAACTTTTTAGAAAGATGTTTTGTTCAGTATAATAAAACACTTAATGACTGGTTATGAGTGTAATAGCAAGTTTGTTGTCCCTTTGATACTAACTATTTCCCTCGGCTTCGCCTCGAGCAATAGTTGGTACCTCAGGGACAACAACCTTGCTATTACCCTTCATAACCAGTCAATAGGTGTATACTATAACATCAGGTCGCTTAAGGGGGAAATGATTTTGAAACCCCTTTCCAGAAAGAAATAGTTTGTCCTGATGCTTTCAACTCTATAATATTCTTGATCAAAGGCCAAGACAAAAAGGCCATGCTTGATCGACTGCATACAATTGCCATGATCACATGACTGTAGTTTGTCAAAAGTTTCTGATTGTCGTGTTGATTCTGCCCTACACTCTGGTCTGTTTTAATAGATTTGATATCTGACCTAGAGATATGATTGACCTCAATATCTTTATACTCAATCGATATTTTATATCGCAATGGCCTTTTCTGTAATAGAATTGAGAATGGAAATGGGGAATGTGTCAAAGAGAAAACAACCCGACCATAGAACAGACAACAGCAGAAGGTCACCAACAGGTCTTCAATGCAGCGAGAAATTCCCGCACCCGGAGGCGTCCTTCAGCTGGCCTCTAAACAAATATATATACTAGTTCAGTGATAATGAACGCCATACTAAACTCCAAATTGTACACAAGAAACTAAAATTAAAAATAATACAAGACTAACAAAAGCTAGAGGCTCCTGACTTGGGACAGGCGCAAAAATGCGGCGGGGTTAAACATGTTTATGAGATCTCAACCCTCCCCCTATACCTCTAGCCAATGTAGAAAAGTAAACGCATAACAATACGCACATTAAAATTCAGTTCAAGAGAAGTCCGAGTCTGATGTCAGAAGATGTAACCAAAGAAAATAAACAAAATGACAATGATACATAAATAACAACAGACTACTAGCAGTTAACTGACATGCCAGCTCCAGACTTCAATTAAACTGATTGAAAGATTATGTCTTCATCATATGAATATCAGGCACAATCCTTCCCGTTAGGGGTTTAGTATCATACCATCATAACATATATGAGAAGAACATAACCCGTGTCATGCCAGCAACTGGTTTTTGAATAAATGTGTTTAGTTCCGATGCAAAGACCCTATAAGTGAATCAATATTAACGCCAAAATATGCAATCTTTAATGACCTGACAACAGTATCGTAACTATATCCCTTCTTTATAAGTCTATTTAACGGTTTTGTTAGCTTCAGAGGTGAATACTGACATTTTTGTGCTTTATAAAGAATATTTCCATAAAAAATTGGATGTGAAATACCTGAACGTATAAGAAGTCTGCATGTTGAGCTATATTTACGAATGATGTCCTTATACCGATGATAAAATTTAGTAAATGTTTTGACTAGTTTGTGATATCGAAAACCCTGGTGTAATAATTTTTCAGTAATACATACATTTCTCTCGTTAAAATCTAAAACATTGTTACATACACGAGCGAATCGAACAAGTTGAGATATATAAATACCGTAGGATGGTGACAAGGGAACGTCACCATGTAAAAATGGATAATTTACAATAGGAAATGAAAAATCATCTCTTTTATCATATATTTTAGTATTAAGCTTTCCGTTAATGATATAGATATCAAGATCGAGGAAAGGGCAGTGGTCATTGTTAGTATTAGCTTTATTTAAAGTAAGTTCAACAGGATAAATTTCTTTAGTATACATACTGAAGTCGTCATTATTGAGAGCCAAAATATCATCCAAATATCTAAAAGTATTATTGAATTTGTGTATCAGATGTTGTTTCGATGGGTCTTTGCTGTTTTTTGTCATAAATTGTAACTCATAGCAATACAAAAACAGGTCCGCAATAAGTGGTGCACAGTTAGTCCCCATTGGAATGGTAACGATAACCTGACGATATACGGAATCTCCAAAGCGAACAGAAATGTTATCTAGTAAAAATTCAAGGGCATATATAGTATCAAAGCATGTCCAATTGACATAGTTTTTTTGTTTATTGCTACTTAAAAATGACCTTAAAGAGTTTGAACATATATATTCACATTCTGACTTTTTAAATGCCCATTCAATTAGGTGTGTGAATTTTTTCTTAATGAGAATGTGAGGCAATGTGGTATATAGGGTAGAAAAATCAAAACTTTGAACAGATTCAAAATCACCAATATATGCATGCAATTCATCAAGTACTTCCAACGAGTTCTTGACACTCCAAAAGTAATTAATTACACTATTTTCGAAGGCCTTATTTGAACAATTTATTATCAGGTTTTTGATTGTACCAAGTGTACTGGTAAGAAGAATAGACAATTTAGTAGTGGAACAATGGCTTGAAGACGAAATGAATCTATATTTGTAAGGTGTTTTGTGTAGCTTCGGAAGCCAATACAAAGTTGGGACTTTCATTGTATTTGGTTCTGCTTGTAAAGCGGTAGCTAAAAGTTTATGTTTGTTACAGATGTCGTTTTCTGAAAATGGAGTCAGTTGGAATGTTGGTGAATTGGTGATTTTTTTTTTCAGAACCTCAATGTTAAATTTACGTCAAACAATAATAATATTATTAGCAGCTTTATCGGCCGGGACAAAAACAAATTCCTTGGCTAGTTCTTTTAGTTTATGTTTGATACGAGAAATAGGTTTATTGTGGTTATTGTTAAGAGTAAAATGTTCTTTAAAATGTTGAATACGTATATCAACTATGTTCATTACTGAATTAAAAAAAGAGTTCAAAGATTTTTTGTCAGCTTTTTCCCGTTTTTTCCATTTCAAACAGTAAGTATGGAGTGAGTCGTGGATGATATTACGACACTCATTCCAATTAATAATTGACGGGGGACGATATTTAGGTCCTTTACTGAGGAATGATTTTAACTCTCGGTCTTGAACGATGTTAAGATCTCCTGTTATAACATGGGAAATGGGTCCATAAATGTATTCGGAGTTACTGCAATTACATGAAGTAGGTGTATTTTCACTGATATTAACATCTTTACACAATTGGCTATAATTAAACACAGATTTCCGGGTAGATTTCTTGTAAATATAACAAATAAGAGGGAGCTCAGTATTATCAAAATATCCCGGAATTTGTTCTTTAACAGAATGGTCGTTAAAAATACCGGCAATATTTACAAAATCAAAACCTTTATTGACATACTTTATTTTAATAAACTGTTTTTTATGATCTTCAGGGCGATCAATTTTGGGAAACAGTTTAGAATAACAATATGCCATTATAATTTGAACGATTTCATACTTAGGACTGCTATATGAAATTGTGTTGCAATCCTCAAAATTTTTTATTTAACTTATTAACCGGTAATGAACAGAGCTTTGTTAACAGATAATGTCTGCCGTTGTTTTTTGAAATAGAAATTATGTCCGAAATATTGGAATGATTGGTCCGAAATTTTCTTTGGTTGCGATTTTTTCTACGACCATGAGAACGGTTT